ATCGGAGTTGAATAACTCCGGTTATGAATTTTGCAAAGTTCCTATAGCAAGCTGAATTTCCAGCAATAGGGTCTCAACTTCAAACATACACTGAGAGAAATACACTTATCCAATGGATCTAAAAATTTACAGGGATGTAACCCTATGTGTTAGCTTCACATAGGTCCAAACCTCACTCAATTTAGAGCTCTGTAGCTCAATATATCGCAATTTTACTAAACTAGATCGCTATTGTCTCGCGAAGTATTCGATTACTGCATTTCCCAGAAAAGTATTTGAATACTGACCGAAAAGTATTCAAATACTTCTTCGACAGAATGCACAAAACTGAGTTTTAAAGGTAAAATCGACCTCCAATGATCCAAACTCAATCTGGAGTCCCAGAACTCCTTAAACAGATGTTTATTAACATGTTATGAACCCAGAAACACATTCCTTTTATCAAATGGTTCAAGTTACGATTTTTAATTGCTTAAACAAGCTTAAAACATCAAAATACACAAGGGTGATCATGGTATACCTTCCAAGCTCCAAAAATCCAAAAATGAGGCACACAAGGGGTCCTCTACACAGCACAAAGGTTCTGACTTCACAAGGCTACGAAAATACACTTCAAGCTTGACCCTTTATGCCAAAAAGTGGCTTCTTGAAGCTCAAGAAGCCAAGAACAAGGTCACACAACCCCAAACACATAAAGACAGCCCCAAAGTCAGCAACTTCACCTCACCACAGAGGCCACAAACTCATAATGACACACTTCACACTCTCCCAAGGCCAACACTCACAAGCTACAAGTGTTCAAGGTGTAAAGTCTCTCATAAAAAAGATGTCTTGAAGGATTTTTGTGAAGAAAACTCAATGGAACAGTGAAAAGGGAGAGGAGGAAGCAGCCACACACACAACCCACGCATAGAATGGCTGAGTATCAGCCTAGGGTTGTGTGCAAGTGACTATATATAGTCCACTTAACACTAATCACACAGTATTAACATAAATAGCTACGCTTAGGATTTTAATCCCAAACTTAGGATTTTTAACCTACTCAATTTTACAAGAATTATCATATTTTTCTTATATTTTTCGGAGCACCTTTCCGGTACACGCTTTTCATAGCCAGTATCAATTTCTGGCACCGGTTCTCATTATTTTAACTTGAAACTTGTTTTACAAGTCCTACGTACTATTATAGTAATATTCATGCACTTATTATAATTTTTCGGGATACTTTTTAGGTACGCATTTATACCGACTAGCAGAACCGGTATCTGCACTTTTCGTCAGAAAAGCGACTTTCAGCTTTATTACTCACTTACTATAATTATTAGAGCCTCATAATAATTATTAAAGTCAATTATGAAATTATCTCATAATTATCTAATTAATTTCCTTAATCAGCGGTGCGGCGAGTTCTTACAAAATCTGAGTGTTAATTGAAATTGTTCATTTTTTATTTATTTTTTTGAAGCTAAGAGGAGTATCAAATTCCTGAAAGTGATTACACAACACGGCCTAGTGGTCTGAAGTAAGTATACGTTAATCACTTCTGGAATCCTTTTGATTTTGGATCTTTCTACCTTGTGCTTTGGCATCAAATTCAGATGATTGATGACTTGTAGACTTAAAAGTTTGTTAAACCCCCTTGAGAGGAATTCCCCCATCTAGTGCATTATTTAAGTTTTTTTCAGCCTAGAGAAACAGAATGTGTCAATTTTCTTTGTCCAAGGAAAAAAGATCCGTAATCCATGTTAAGCTGTGATTTCTTTAAAACCGTTGGATCAAGGTCTCGTACATTCAAAATCATTGATCTTGGAGCTGCTACAGACCTGCGAGTTGACATCAATTATATTCCTAAGGAGTTTCTTTTGGACCCAAGGTATCATCTTTGACATTTGCAACACTGGTAGCCAACTGATTTTAAACTTAATCCACTGCATGGAAGTTTCTGTCTCGTGTATGCATAATTGCTTCATTGATGGTACTAAATGAATAACACTGTCATCTATTATGCTTGAAGAAAAAGGGTTTAAATTGTCTCCTTTTATAGAAGACAATTATCTTAGTGAAGCATAAAAAATTGTGCCCTTTTTTTTAAAATAAAATAAAATAATGGGACTCACATAATTTGTTTCTATGCATTAAGCAAGCTATCTTCTATTAAAGGAGATTAATAAATCCCAAAGAAAAATTATATGCATGCTAATTATATGATGGGACATATTTATCTCATGTTGCATGAGATAATTATCTCATGCAACAGAGATAAGAAAGTAGGGTTCACTATTATTTTTTTTAAAAGAAAAAAGAAAAAATAATGAACCTCACTATCTTGTTTCTGTTGCATCAGATAATTATCTCATGCAACATGAGATAATTATTTCTCTTATATGATATGTCCAAAGGGCTGTTTGGTTCTAAGAACAGAGTTCTATGAACATGTATGTGGAAATTATACTTGATTTATGCAAATGTGCAGCTACTTGACATGTATCCATGTGAATGCATGTTGTCCTCATTGATATGTACTTGTTTGATGTGATTGAGCAAATAATCATGAATATCATGAAAGAATACAGAAATTAAAGTTTGAAAACAAGGAATGGATATTAAGCAAATTGCTCAAGTTGTTGCAAGATAGTAGAAAAGTAATAAAAGGGTAACAATTGCGTTTACCTGTGAAGTGCTGCGAATTTAAAGGATGAAATTGAAAGTTTAATCAAATCCTAATTATATAGCTAATTTTATTGAGGTTATCTCGCTGTTACATATTTTGAATTTTAAATTTTAAATTTAATTTAGTGTATTACATTTTGATTTAGTATTTAATATAATTTACAGCAGATAGGATTTGTGCATTTTGAATTTTAAATTTAATGTAATAGGAGTTGATTGTGTTTTGTATTTAATAGGAGCTGAATGCATTTTATTAGGAGTTGTAATTTTACGAGTTGATTATAGATTTTTGCCAATTCAAATTTTTATAATTTGTAATTCTGAACCTATTTATGGACAACATTTCAATGAAATGAGAAAGTAGATACCAACTTTTATCTAATTTTGTGTGTGTTTAAGTCAGTAATACAACAAATCATTGGATAAAGAATTTCGAGTAGGACAACTAGCAAACTGCTAACATTACCACCCTCACTTTCTTAAGTATTTCGAGATTTCTAATTAATAATAAAATCTTGCATATATTTAGTATATATGCGTTATCATTTTATATTAAGTCATTATCTTATTTTAGGTTTGGTTGTTGGTAAAGCTGCAAGAATACAGAAAGAACAAAAGAGCATCTAGCTAGCAAAGTTAAAAGAATCAAACAAAATAAGCATGAAGGTCATTGATGCATGGAGGCAATAGCGGACCTAAAATTTTCTTTTAAAGTCTGCACACTTAGAATTATTTAAAGAAAATTTTAAATATATTAAAATACAAAAGAATATATATAATAAAACTTTAACTTAATATAGAAAAAGTAATCAAGAGTCAACTAAACTGTTACAATAGAACATTTTGGATTTTCATCAAAAATTATGGGCCTCAATTTAATCTCTTAGAGAAAAAAAGTCTACTCGTGATTCTTCAGAATTCGAAAATAGACCCCGTCAATCAAAATCATGGTCCTCTGAAATTCAAAAAGATCCACATTAATCCCTCAAAAGGATTAACATGGGTCTATTTTTGATTTTAAAGGGATCACGAGTCCTTTTTTTAAGAAATTAAATTGGATTCTGTGATTTTTGTTCATGACCCAATATATATATATATATATATATATATATATATATATATATATATATTTTTTTTTTTTTTTTTGTGTTGTATTTAGATTGTTACAAATTGTCGTCAAAAAATTCTTCTAGTGTCGTGTCAACCTGCATAATAAGTGACATACTTTGAGGTTGACAGATTATTATAGTATAGTGTCGTGTCAATGTACATAATAAACTACATACATTGAGATTAAAAGGTTATTTGTGTCTTGTCATGTCAACTCGTAAAATAAACAGGTCGTGTTTGTTGTCAAAAAAAATTAACCTATTTTTCAATTTGTATTGTGTTAATGTCGAGTGTATTTATATTTGTGTCAAATTTGTTTCTTGTTGTCTCGGTCCAAATTATTATCACTAAAATTAGGCCATGGAAATGGAGCGCTGAGCAAAAGTGAGCATAGTTTACTCTTTGCAATATGTGTTCTTTTACTTATAATAAAGAAAAGTGGGACTTAGGTGAGTGTTATTAAGAGTGAAATAAATGTCTTTAGACCCGTTAATTTTTCTTTCTTTCTAATTTTGACAAATAAGTATCGAGTCTCCAGTATATATCATTGGAATATTCAAAATATTTTTGAATAGGTAAAATAAGATATATTTCGCATTTCGGAAATGTTTCATTGGGTCTTAGGGTTATTTTTATTTATAATGATATTTTTGTAATTTTTGTTTTTTATTTTAATTGCTTTGCAGGATCATTTGAGACTCGAATTATTGATGGTTGAATTTTGAAATAATTGATTATCGTTTGTCTCTTAATTTCAAAATTCCATTTAGTTATTTTTCTGTATTTTTCGACATCAGCACCTATTATGGAGACTTTGGATGTTGTAAATAAAAAATGCATGGATATATATAACAATAGAGATGTAATTTTCATTGTCATTATCTACGCAAAGTTGATGCTATATTATTTGTATAATTGTCATTATTATTTATTAAATACAAATAGGCATTCACATCTGCATCACATGTGCATCACCTCTTATCACCTAAGATATCACGTCGTATATTATTATAGAATAGACGAAACGTACATGTGCATCACCTCCTATAAATCACTTAAACATTGACCTCAATATATTATGCATGTGAACTGAATTACTTAAGATGTTTAGGCATTATTGCTTCTATATAGAGGGTATCTTTTTTACATCCCTTCTCCCTCACCCAAGTCCATAGAAACAAAAAATAAAAAAAAATAAAAAAGAAAAAAGAAAAATACAAATGGTGGAGGAGAGCATCCCAATGGTGGATTTCCAGCAACTTTGTGAGGAAGAGGAGTGCAACAAACTAAGAGATGCATGTGAAAAATGGGGGTGTTTCAGAATCGTCAACCATTCTATTCCAATAACACTCATGGCAGAGATGAAGTCCGTGGCTAAATATCTACATGACCTTCCTATGGAGATAAAAAAACGCAACAAATCCGTCGGCTCTGAGGGTGGCTACGTGGGATCGATTAAAATCAGTCCTCTATATGAGAGCTTAGGAATATATGATATGTGTTCATCACCCCAAGCAGTTGAGGATTTCTGCTCTCAGTTGAATGTCTCAACCCACCACAGGTTTCTTTACTCTCTCTACTAATCCTCTTATTTTAGAATTGTTTCATTTGATGGTTTAATTTTGTTAACTAAGAGATATAATATAAAATTATTGAAGGATCATCACTTACAAACTTAAATTTTTGGGTTGAATTTATACTTTATATGGTTTAAAAGTTTCCATAATTTCGAGGTCACGAGTTTAATTATAATCCTTCTTCACTTTTTAGTGAAATTAATTAAGTAAGCACAAGGTAGAGAAAAATATGGGCATTTGCAATATGCATATTTCAAGTTCAAATGATTTTTGCGTGATGGAGTGTGTTAAAGAGATATAATATATATAAAACCATTGAAGGATCATCACTTAATGACTTAAACTTTTGAGGTTAATTAGTTGTTTTAGATAGTATTCTTAAGGGTGTGCGTCATAGCTTTCCAAAAATGTTATTTTAACTTGAAAACAAAAATAATTAAAATATTTTTTAATAAAATTTATTTATTTTTAATTTCGACATAATAAATCAGTAGTTTAAGAATACAAATTAACATAAATAAAAAACAATTTATTTATTTATTTATTTTTTGTGTTCATTGATAAAATGATTGTCATGTACATTCCAAATGTACCGTGAAAATTAAATAGACCAAAACTTAAAAGGTGTTATTCATGAAATGTTCAAAAGTAAGGTCCCTTATTCCTTCTACATGGTTTTATCAAATTTAATGGTTGATTATTAGGTGCTAGGAAATAGATCAGTATCGTATCATGCAGTTAAAATAAAGTTGAGACAAACCAGAGTTTCAAGACACTATTAACCACACAATTGGTCTGGTAAGTGTAATACAGTGAAAGTCTTTTTGTGCTACGCAATAGTGACTAATTAAATAACTACTCACTTTCTTAGTGTAATTATTTTTCTTTTGATTCCATTGGTCAAGAGAATACCAAATATGCCAATTGAGGTAACATACAAGATTTATGTCAAAATTGAAAAAATTCACTGGCAAGATCAAAGAAGATATTCACTATGTGAGAGAAATTACACCTCTCTAAAATACAATGAAAGACTAATATCACTATCTTTTTTTTTTTGTAGGTTCTAATATCACTATCTGTTATACTAGGAGAATACATCTCACTCAAAATAACACTCAAGAACACTTTGTGTTTATCTTTTAGTTGGGATACTAAAAGAACTGTTGATCTTGTGGGATTTGGGATGATTGAAGGGATACAAAACACAACACCAAATGGTTCTATTTATAGGCATGGAGAATTCTTAAAAAACCATGTATGTATTATGCTTGCCTTCAAAGGAATAGCAAAACATTGTGCTTTAATTCCACAATCTTTAGCCACAAAAATGGCTTTAATGTTGTCATTAGGTTAAGTATATTTGCTTCGCAGGCACATAATAGAGGTATATGGCCAAGCAATTCGTGACTTCGTATCAATTATATCAAAAAAGATGACTGAGTCTATGGGCGTAATGGGTGCTGATTTTGAGGACTGGCCATTCATTTTTAGGATGGTCAAATATAACTTCACCCCAGAAACTGTAGGTGAATTAGGTGTAGAACTACACTCAGATACAGGATTCATAACTCTGCTTCAAGATGATGAACATGTTGGTGGTCTTGAGATGATGGATGACTCTGGCTCTTTTGTGGCTATCCCTCCCAAATCAGGGTCTTTCCTTTGCATTATTGGAGATGTTGCACAAGTAAGCATAGCAAGCAGTTTCATTTGGGCTTAAATTTTCTTTGGATCAAATTAAATCCTCCCTTTTACCGAAAAAATGCAAAAAAATAAATATATGACTAGTTTAATTCTTTGGGCAAATTATTTACTCATTTAATGCGAGTAAGATGCGTATAGAGAGTGTGTTCGTATAAGTCGCGTATCCCCTCCACGCGCGACTTGTGCAAAACTTAGTGCAATATAAGACACACGTCCTAGCAGTGCACATTCAAGTCGAGCATGAAGTGATGCGCAACTTGAACGTACACACTCCTCAATCCTCATATGCGTTTCATTTGTATTATATTGATAAATAATTTATCAAAAGAATTAAACCAGTAATATGTTTTATTTTTTGCATTACAAGAGTTGAAAGGCCAATTAAATCTTTTTATTATTTGGAAATTTTATGCATGCTCTTGTGTTTCTATAGGCATGGAGTAATGGAAGACTTCGCAATGTGAAACATCGTGTAGTATGCAAGGAAACAACTACTCGTTATTCAATCGGTGCATTTGTGATACCATTAGCTGAATATAATGTTGAGGCCCCAAGAGAGCTGGTGGAGCCTAATCATGCGCGTCTCTATCGCCCATTTAAATACAGAGAGTTATCTATCATAAAAAAATATATATACAGAGAGTTTAAGGAGTCGACAATCACCACAGGGAAGAGAGCTGGTCAGGTCCTTGAGCAATTTCGCATTAGCTAGTTAGTGCTATCGATGGAGATAGATACGAATAATAGTGTGCGGATTCTCCTATGTCACATGATCTCATGACCTTATGTGAGACATTTTCAATTTGTCATAGCCAAATCAACGATTGTATTTTCTTCACTTTTTATCTTAGTGTTTTCTTTTATACCCTTTGATTTGTCACAATTGCAATTGTCTAACATAAAATCATGTGATATGAAAGGATCCATTTCCCACCAAAAGAGCTATTAAAAATTAATATATACATGCTCGAAATAAGAAACTAATACTTTATTAAAATAAAGAGAAAAATGTGTATCATTTTGAAGGACACAAAGTTGTCATTTTAAGTGAGAGAAAGAGATAAATCATAAGAGAGAGAATTGTTGAAAGATTTTTTAAAAGTGTGGATCTCACCTCTTTGTGAGAGTAAAAGAATATAAGGTGTGTCACTTAAAATGACACATTTTTCCCTAAAATAAAATGCATGTTCAAGTAGGAGTGCACTTAATTAGATCTACAACAGCCTTTTGGCTAAGGGTAAGGGGTGCTCTCACCTAAGTCAATTTAGATTCTTTGTTCGAAAATATAATGGTAAGGTTACCCGCCCTAAGGTAAATTAGTGATAGTGCACCAAAACCAACACCTATACCTTTATGTTAGCTGATGTTTTAAAGAAGTCCTTCCCCTAAAAATGATTCAAAAATATAATTCGTAATATATACATTCATTTGACATAATCAATAATAACTATATATAGCACAGTTCTCATAAAATATTCCATTCACATATTCATTAAAATCATTCCATCACTAACTGTTTTCAAAAACTCAATCATCAAAATGTAAACAATTCTCAAAGTTCATGATATATTTCCATACCTATTCTCAATATTGAAACTAAAGTCAAGTATTATAATTAAAAACAATTTAAACCAAAGAGTTGCATTCATGTCCACACTATGTATTCCTGAAATAAGAGAGATAAAAATTAGTTGAGCTATATCGATCTTAAGAGATGAAGAGAGGACTTTCAAATGTCCAATATCTAGTCAAGTCACATCTGGGTCTGAACCATTCTAACAAGCTGGCATTTAGACACAGCAATTGTATAAGCAAAATCCAGACAAATCCTCGACAGGGATTCTCTGAATTGTACTGTGAATTGCACAATATGTTGCACTTCTACCAATATCTAAACTACAATGAACAGTTATTGGGCCACGGTTGGATGGTAAATGGAATAATCTTCTCAAAATCTCACGTACATTATATGTGTCTTCGGAAACTCCCTTGGTGCAACTTCTGGCGCTTTATTGCCTCACCTCCAAACGGCGCAGGGCATTGATATTCGCAGCGGAAATAATTATCTCATGTTGCATGAGATAATTATTTCATACAATAGAGATAAAATAATGGAGTTTATTATTTTTTATTTCTTTTTTTTTTTAAAAAAAGTAGTGGATTTTATAATTTTATCTCAGTTGCATGAGATAATTATCTCATGCAATATGATATTAATAGATCCCTATTGGCAAATAATAATAATAATAGTTGTAAAATTATACATGTGCTTCATGCATGTCTAATTAAACACCCAGGTAAACACAAGTCAATAATGACGGGATACACTGGTTGTCATTGACAGTCAATAAGTCAATAATGAACCTCAAAACTCTTAAATGATGTTTTGAATGCAAAATAAGACTTAAAAAATCCTAAATTAAGGATCAAAATATAAATTTAATATCTTAAATTGTTAATATTAAAATAATGAGATGAGTTATTATTAAGTTATTTTTTATATGTAATTAAGTTAATTTTTATGCTTTTAGGTGTTTTATCCTACAAATATCATGATTGCTTTAAAAAACAAATGAAATCTCATTAAGAAGATTTGGCGCCTCAAGGCCCAAAAAAAGAAAAGCTCAATCTTAATGCCTAGATGAAGAAGTCTTTATAAATACAACTTTTATGACTTTCTAAGGGAGCTTTGCACCAATTGTAACGCCTGACAACTTGCAAGGATCAACGACTGTCCCCATACATTAACACGAAATTTTTCAGCGTGCTTTGTCCTCACTCACACACTTCCGAAAAAACTTCCCAGGAGGTCACCCAACCCAGAATTGCCCCAAGTCAAGCACGTTTAACTATAGAGTTCTTCCGTTCTGGGCTACCGAAAAGTATATGCATCTTATTACTATAGGTAGTACTAATGAATTCTTAGAAGCTATTTCCAACTGTACCGTCTCATATCAGCACAGTCTCTGGAATCCCTTTATTTCAGGTGTTGATTCGATTCGTTAATGTACCCCCGTCACTGGAAGCCTGCCAGGAGCCTCTCCTTATCCATGCCTTTTCGCACCGGTAATCACTCCCCACCCACGTCAGCGCTCGAGATGTTATATGCCCACCAGCTTCCGCCTAGTTCGTCCTCGAACCACACCGTATTGGAAGAAATGCCATGCTCTGATACCACTTGTAACGCTTGGCAACTTGCAAGGATCAACGACTGTCCTAACACTCACACGAAACTTTTCAGCGTGTTTTGTCCTCACTCGCACACTTCCGCGAAAACTTCTCAGGAGGCCACCCATCCCAAAATTTCCCTAAGTCAAGCACGTTTAACTGTGGAGTTCTTCCGTTCTGGGCTACCGAAAAGTAGATGCATCTTGTTAGTATAGGTAGTATCAATTAATTCTTATAAGTTATTCCCAACTGTACCGTCCCATACTAGCACAGTCTCTGGAATCCCTCTCTTTCGAGTGTTAATTCGATTCATTCATGTATCCCCGTCGCTGAAAGCCTGTCAGGAGTCGCTCCTTGTCCATGCTCTTTCGCACCAGCGATCACTCCTCGCCCTCATCAGCGCCGGGATGTTACAACAATTAACTCAGTAGTTCATGAATTAAGAAGGCAAAGGTGCAGGAATGATCTATCCTATATCTGATAGTGCGTGGGTAAGTCCAGTACAAACTATACCCAAGAAAGGTGGAGTCGTCGTGGTAAGAAACAAGAACATTGAGCTGATTCCAATAAGGACAGTCACCGGGTGGAGGATGTGTGTTGACTATAGAAGACTTAATGCAGCCACTCTGAAGGACCACTTCCCTATTCCTTTCTTGGACCAGATGTTGGAGAGACTAGCTGACCATGCATTCTACTACTTCCTGAATGGGTACTCGGGTTACAACCAAATAGCAGTAGCTCCAGAAGATTAAGAGAAGACAACATTCACATGCCCTTACGGAGTCTTCGCTTACCGGAGGATGCCCTTCGGCCTATGCAACACTCCGGCGACTTTTCAAAGGTGTATGCCTTCTATTTTTTCTGATATGATTGAGAAATATATTGAGATCTTCATGGACGATTTTTCTATTTTTGGCCCCTCTTTTGATGCTTGTTTAGAAAATTTGTCTTGTGTTTTACAAAGATGTCAAGAGAGTAACCTTGTTTTAAACTGGGAAAAATGCCACTTCATGGTAAAAGATGACATAGTTCTAGGACATAAAGTGTCCAAAGATGGTATAGAAGTTGATAGAGCTAAAATATCTGTTGTTGAGAAACTTTACCCTCCCTCTAATGTTAAAGGTATTCAAAGTTTTCTCGGTCATGCAGGTTTTTTCAGGCACTTTATCAAGTACTTTTCCAAGATAACAAAGCCACTACGCAAGCTGTTGGTCAAGGATGAAGAATTCAACTTCACAGAAGAGTAATTGTTGCATTTAATATTTTAAAAGATAGATTGACCACTGCACTTATAATCACTGCACCAGATTTTTCTTTACCTTTTGAATTGATGTGTGATGCTAATGATTATGCCATAGGAGCTGTCTTAGGACAAAGAAAAGATAAACTCTTGTATGTGATTTACTATGCTAGTAAAATTCTTAATGATGCACAATTAAATTATGCCACCACTGAAAAAGAATTACTAGCAGTTGTCTATGCATTTGATAAATTTAGACCGTATTTGCTGGGGTCTAAAGTAATTGTTTACATTGATCATGCTGCTTTAAAGTATTTGTTGAATAAGCAGGATGCAAAACCACGATTGCTTAGATGGATGCTGCTCCTTCAAGAGTTTGAAGTTGAAATCAGAGATAAGAAAGGCGTGGAAAATTTGGTGGCTGATCACCTCTCCAGGATCAAGAAAAATATCTTCAAGATGGACCTAAATTGAAGATCAGAGAAGAATTCCCTAACAAACAAATTTTGGCAATCAATGTCATAGCGGATCTGCAAACCGAGAAAATGCTAAACACTAGCATACCTCCATGGTTCGCGAATTTCGCAAATTTCAAAGCAGCAGGAAAAATTCTAGTAGACTTCACATGGCAACAAAGGAAGAAGTTTCTGCATGATGTCAAGAAATACCTATGGGATGAGCCCTTCCTTTTCTACAGATGTGCTGATGGAGTGATAAGGCGATGCATTCCAGAAGAAGAAGTGAAAGACATCTTGTGGCACTGCTATAGTTCAAGCTACGATGGACATTTTGCGGGAGAAAGAACAGCCACAAAGGTTTTGATGAGTGGCTTCTACTGGCCAACACTCTACAAGGATGTAAGGAAATTTGTAGAAGCATGTGATAGATGTCAAAGAATGGGGAATATCTCTAGAAGACATGAAATGCCCCTCAACAACATATTGGAGGTTGAAATCTTCGATGTGTGGGGAATAGACTTCATGGGACCTTGTCCCCCTTCGTATGGCAACAAATACACCCTTGTTGCGGTCGATTACATATCTAAATGGGTAGAAGTTGTTGCTCTACCTTCTAATGATTCTCGGGTAGTCATTGCCTTCCTCAAAAGAAATATCTTTGTCAGGTACGGGGTACTGCGAGCAATCATCAATGACATAGGAACTCACTTTGACAACAGACAAGTGGAGTATGTGATGGCCAAGTGTGGAGTCAAACACAAGATTGCCACACCTTACCATCCGTAAACAAGTGGACAACTTGAAATATCCAACCGAGAGCTGAAGCGTATACTGGAGAAGACGGCT